AGTTCGCTGTGGAGGACTTAGTGCTTTGGTTGTGATGATATGCAGAGTTGAGTGGCCTTTCCTGAGCATCAATTCACAGGTCTAAATGACCCACTCCTGTTCTGTAGCAACTGTTATTGAAATTACTATGTATGTGTAGCATGATTTTCACCCTTCACCAATTTAGAAGGAGTTATATTAAGACAATCCAAGGAGCTAGGTGCAGCCAGGATCTCAGAATCAATAGTAGAAGGCTTTCTATTATTTTCAACAGTACTTCTCAAATGAAGAAGGTATCATTGACTCAATTTATAGGCACAAAAAATCAGTGAGATGACAGGTTGCCTGTGCAGGGTTTACCAAGACGACTACGAGCAGAGACAGAACACTACAGAGGTTACTTTGCTCCAGAAAATGGGCCCGTGCTCTAAGAGAGTTGCCAGCCCTTCTCTTTTTGAAACATTTTATAGTCAACCCTAAGTCTGAAGTCTTAGTTAAGATGCAGCCTGAAAATATATTAAACTAAATTTATTTTCACCTTTCTGCAATTAAAGATTTGTTTGGGCTTTTGTTTTCTTACACTGCTTGTGGAATATCTTAAATTGTGCCAGCCAGGAAAACTAAAATTTTTAGTGCATAAATGTTTATTGAAAATTGCCTTGGATTGTATCATCAGGTAGATGGGCATTTAAATGTGGTTACTTATGCAGGCCTCTATGTTTGTGCAATGCTAGCTCTAAATTACAATGATGTATACAATGTGTTATTAATCCATATGTTAAAAACAGTCAAACTGAGCTTACTTTTTTGTTTTCTTTCCTTCTTTCTTTGAAGATACTTGTTTGCTTCTATGTTTAGTTCCACATCTGATAGTTTACCATATGAGTATAATGATAATGTGTTTTCTTACTACTGGTGCTTTCCTTTTCCCTAATTTACGGTTTGGTCTTGGACACTCCATTTGAATCAAAGGCTTTGCAAAAAGCTATCCTGCTGGGCAAGTACCTGCCCTATTAATTTATCTGTTTTTTTGGTTTTTTTTTTCTTTTTAATTTTGCTATTATATACTACTTTGTTGTATGCCAGTAGCATCATGATAAAACAAGCAGTGTTAACCTGCTGAAAGAGTTAGCATCAGGAGGTTAAAATGTGGTCAAAGGTCGATTTACTAGACAGAAATCTCATCAGGTTTTCAAGGTTTGGCTGTAGTCAGTGACACAGTTAGTTGTTACTTTGAGTCTGCTATAGACTATGTTTTAAAGGTTGCTGTTCAACAGTTGTTTGAATTGACAAGCATCCCTTTTGTTGTATATCAGACCCAGAAGTACATCACATTTACTGGGGAAATGCCTGGAAGGGGTGCTTGAGCTAAAGAAAAACAGCTAGGATTTTTTAAACTTAATGTTGTTTTGAAATTTACTTGCCTATTATATTTCAGTTGTGACTATCCTTTTCCTGAAGGATTTTCTTTGGGTTAAGCATAACTTTATGAGGGTGTACAAAAGCTTTATTTTTTCAGCATGAAGCATTTTTGAGTGTAAATCTCTGTCATGTTATCAAGTCAGTTCATAATCTTACTTTATATATATATACTGAACTCAGATTTTATCATACTGGATTATGTGATGGTATATTTCTTTATTTGAAACCTTGGTTAAATTCTTCTCACATTTTCCAGGGGAAATGGGTGTTTATCAAATCTTCTCTTTTCTCTGACTGGATTTACTTCTGTTTTTTAATGTTACAGAAATTATCTGTAGCTCCATAGTGTGTCGAATCAAGTAAGAAATATATTTTTCATTGTCTTCTTTTAGGTAAGTGTGTGAAGCACACATTGCCATTATGAAATGGAAATAATATATGATTTTCAATATATAGTGAAGCTTTACAGTGTAATTGAACTTGTTTGCTTCTAAAAGAAAACAAGTACCTTCCTTCTAAAGCAGTACTATTAGGAAAGCTGAATTTTTAAAGCAATCATTTCTAGTAAAATAAGTTCAGCATATTTTCTTAGAATATTTTCAATTTGGTAGAAAGTGGTCAGACCTTTCAACTAAAAATAAAGTGATTTTGGGGATAATTTTTGGTTTTCTAAAAGGAATCTTTACAAAAAAATATTAAGAGTACTGATTTCTGAAAACAGTAGTTAAAACATAAAAACTTTATTAAAACCAGATCAAGGTTGTAAGAATTTGGAAAAAAAATACAAAATTAAAAACTACTTACTGTGGCCACACCAGTTTACATTTGAGACAGGTATGACAGGTGATGGTACAAGACTGCAGCACACAATCCTTGGAGTGAGTTGCCAGTAGATGTGTAGGTGGGTTTAGGGTTTTTTGTTTTGTTTTGTTTTGTTTTTTCTTGTAAGCATCTACCTCTTAATAGTTAATGAAGTTTCCCTGAGTACCACTCAGCACAGTGGATGAATAGAGATGAGGATAAAGAGGGCTTCAAAATAGCTTTACTCTTATTTTCTCCTCAGCATGTGTGAAAGGGCCAGCTGGGGGGAGGTGGGAAGGAAGAGGTTTGCAATGGGAGGAGTGACAGCAAGCAATACAACATGTCTCCTATCACGACACCTTTAATGCATGGCTGCTCTTGGAGTTACAGCCCAGCTTGGAACATGGAGAGCTTGGCTGGTACTGCCAAAGGACAATACCAATGTCCTTTGTAAACCAGGGTGCCAGACCTGGGTGTGTGTGTGCTGGAAGCTGACCATGGTGCTGTGCCAGCAACCTGTGAGGTGCAGGCTATGGTGGGGGGAAGGGCAAGATGGGGTCCAGCAGTGCAAATACTTGATAGGTCTGAGGTCCCTCAGAAACTTCAGTTGAGGCTGGTTTAATCAGGTCATCTGACTGAGACACCAACAATTCTTAGTGCACTGTTTAAAGGTAGCACAATCCGTCACTGACTTTGGTTTAGAAGAGTATGTGGTAAAGCCAAGTCCAGTGCTTTGGGAGCTGGATGATGGGTGGCCCACACATCCATTCAGCAGGGTGGGGTGGACAACTGGAGACAACAGGTTCATCAGCTCTTCTGGTCCAGGAGTTAAAGCGGCCACGTTCTCTCCAGGGGCAGATCTGCAGCCACAGCCTTCCCACAAGCTCAGTAGCTGCTCTTGTCTGAGTATAAATAAGAAAACGATGCCCTCATTATCCAGGGAATTTTGTTTATACCTGGAGCATTTGGTAGAGTTTTATTTCCCTATTATATCACAAAAGTGGCTTACAGGAGCAGCAACTCGGAGACTTGGCCAAGAACACAATTAAATGATTATAGGTTTATATAGCGTTTAGAATACCATTACTTTCTTGTAATTCCAGGTGTGCTGGGGTGTGTGAGTGGAAACAGAAGCAAAAAGAAAACATAAAAGAAGACGCTGGTAGTGGATGTTTTCCCTTGGCAAGGCAGTATGGGAAGGACAGAAGTGGTGGGAATGGGGGTGCTTTCCTCTTCCTCGGCTGGACAGGACAAGTGGCAAGTGATTATTGAATAGTGAGATGAGACAGGATGAGAAAGGAAAAACAAAAGAAGGGCTGTGGCCAAAAGTAATATGCTCCAGGATACACTGCCATGAAACAACTTCAATTTTCAAAACATGGTACAGAAAAAGTAACCTGGATCTTGTCAATACCACTGTGAGCAATTTATACAAAAGCAGGTTTCTTTAGTTGCCTTTACACCATCAGATATAAAGCAAGCCTTCTGAAAGGGCTGAGGGCAGAGTTGGACTTGCTAGCTTGGGGCTCTGCCTGTTAATTGCTGAACTACATCTGATGATAAAAACCTGAGACTTCATATCTCGCAGCAAGACAGCGTCATGAATACCTAAATTTAACACCTGACTCCTGTGCTACCTGGAATTATGTGCTCAAAGAGAGGACAAATATAGCTGTTACGAAACCACACAATCTGCTTTGGTGCTTTTTGGCAGTTCAGAGAGGGAAGAGCTTTTGGACACAGCCCTCCAACGGCCACTCTGCACAGAGAAAAGCAAGCTCACTTTCTTTGAGAAGTCCTCAGAAATTCTGAGCTTGATGGGTCCTGGCACTGCTGCACCAAAAAAAAAACTAGATCCGGTGCCTGGATGCTGCCAAATTCTGTCCACAAAACCTAGAAATTATGTCATGCTAGTAGAAATAACAATTGCTTTCTATGATTCAGCTTAGGGGGAAAAAAAAAAAAGAAAAAAAAGGAAAATCAAAACCAACCACCATCCACCCTGGGATGCCACCGGATCCTGACGGAGCGGTGCGAAGTCCCCGCCGTTGAGGCGGGAGCCCCTCACCTCACCTCGGGGTGCCCGCGGCGTGTGGCGGGACCGCTCTGACATCCGAAAAGGCGCGTCTGTGGCGGTGCTGGTTTGGGTTTGGTTTTTTGCTTCTCGGAGTCAGGGAGGATAAACTTTCAAATTATCTTTAAAAATAAATCATGTGAGGGGAAGGGGCTGCCTGGCCGCCCCAGGGGGTGTAGGGGACACGGTGTGCCCGCAGCAGGATCCCGGCGTTGGCATTTCCGACCCCCACCACCCCCGGCGGAGGTGCCCGCGGGAGAGCGGCGATCCGACCCCCACGCCGTCGTCGGGGCCGTGGCGGGGGACAGCGAGGCCGGGTCCGGTCCGGGGCGGGCGGGCGGCGCGGCGATCCGGCGGGGGGCGCGGGGAGCCAATGGGCGGCGGGGATCCGCCGGCGCGGCTCGGGGGCCCCTGGAGGAGGAGAAGAGGAAAAACCACGGGATTGAGCTCTGTCAGTGGCGCTCGCCGCTTCCAAGGGGGGAAGTGCCGGGGGATAATTAATGTTTTTATTAAATTTGGAGGGAATTTTTTGCAGCCGATCGCCGCGCGTGGCCTTCAGGTGGGTCTTCCCCGCAACTTTGTCCGCCGCCCCGCAAGGATTGGCGTGGAGGTGGGCTGCGGAAGCCATGGGGGGGGTGGAGGGGGAAGGTGGCTCGGTGCGTGTGGCGGGGGGAGGGGGGGGCGCGGGGTGTGTGTGTGCGTGGCTGCGGCTGGCGGGCGCTGCCGCCGTCGCCTCCGCGGCGGCCGTGAGGTGCGCGGCGAGCCCCGCCGTTCGCCATTACGAGTTGAGCACACGTTTGCGAGAGTCGGGGCTGCCGCTGGAGCGGATCGCCCGCGGGGTACGGCGGGGAGTGTAAATAAAACCCTGCTTCTCCCTCTCCGGGCTCTCTGCCGCTGCCCCGAAGTGGTTTTGCGCCGTGTTTTCCTGGCAGAAGAGTGTAACCCAGGTGAAGGCAGAGAAGGGAGGGTTGTTTTTATGAATGGGACTCTTTGAGGTTAATTAGCTATGCAAATTCAAGCAGTTCATTCATGATTTTTTTTTTTTTTTTTCCTTAAATCTAAAAGCCATCTTGTATTCCCCTCTAGGCTGATCGGAGTCCAGATCCCGAGGAAATCTCCAGATCAAATGCCCAGTAAATAAAACACTGAGCTAAGACTTGAGGAAGAGCTGCAGAATGGATGGATTTTATGACCAGCAAGTGCCTTACATGGTCACCAATGTGAGTGATCAGTTCAAAGTTGGTGTTTATAAACTTGACTCCGACTTCTTTCTGTGGGGGAGTTTTGCAGGCAGAGTATCTGCTTTGTTACAGCTGTAGGGGCGACTCTTCGTTTGGGAGCTTTGCTTGCGAGATGAGCCTATCTTCTTAGTTATTTCAGTAAAGCATCATATTCTTTTAAAGGCAGTTGTGGGATGATTAAAAAATCATGCACATGATTAGCGGATGAGAGAGGCGAGAGCAGCAGCAGCTGCATTCAAAGTTTCTGGCTGTGGTTGCCTGCAACGCTCAGAAGAATGAAGTTGAGGCAAACGTTAACATTTCCTCCCCCCCCCCCCCTTTTTTTTTTCTTTCTTTCAGGACCTTGCAAACAGTGTTATAAGTAACACAGGGGAACAAAGCAGTCTATTATAATCTCCTATATGGGTTCTCCTGTGTAGTTTATGCAGGGGGGATTTATATGCTATTGTGTAGGTTTGTGTACTTTAGATGCTAAAAATACATGGTTGGTATTGTGTTGCTACTTGAAAACATTATGTATGTGTATGTACAAATAGATGTCTACATAGATAGAAATGTGTTGCATTAGGACACAGGAATCTTTTGGAGGATCGTAGGTGCTCAGCAATGTCTTTTGCTGAAAACTGAAGGCTGCAAGATGATCATTTCCCTATTTGAAAATGTAAAGAATTCATGCTGGCTTTGAGTATTCTTGATTAAATGAGGAAAAAAAAAAAAAGACCAAGAAACCCTCAGATTTCTAAAGTAACTGATCTTTCCTGTTTATAGAATCCGCGTGGGAGAAACTGTAATGAGAGACCGACAAATGTCAGGAAAAGAAAATTCATTAACAGAGACCTGGCTCATGATTCAGAAGGTGAGGGTTTGTCATGTTCACCACCACCCCCCCCCCCCCCCCCTTTCTCCCCTTCCTAATGCAGAGAAGTTTTTTGAGAACATTTTTTTCATTTATTTTGGAGATAAATATATCGAGATCCCTCTGAATAAACAAGAGGAGAAAATTGTGTTTACTACTGCAAAACAAACTGACAAAGGCAATAAACTGATGAAGTTGATACTCCTGCCTGGACTTACCATGTTGCATTTTAGGTACACATATGTCATGTGGCATACATGTGGCACCCGGATGTCATGCACTGAGGCCAAGCCTTTGCAGCATCTAACACAAGTTACTGCACCTGGCTTTTTCACCTTCAGGCCTCTTGAGATTCAGGGCTTTCCTCATTCCTCCTATCTTTTAACATCCTTTTCACTAGTATGTGTTTACTGGTGATAGCAGGAGTATGAATGCTGGTGTGGAGACTTGGTTTTCACTCTGGCTTTACTGTAGAGCTAGTAGTCAGGCTCCTTGCGTTTGGTAGTCTGTTTCTATTGCAGTATAACACTGGTAGGGTTAAAAATCCTGGGAAATTCAATTAAGGAGGTCTAGAGTTGATGAAGTTTTTGGGGGGGCAGAGATTTGTAACTTAGTCCCGTTAGTAGCCGCTCACATGATTGTAGCTTGAGAACTGTAGTCTAGCAATAGCTGTTAATGCTTCTTTAGGTTACAGTATAGATGCTATGTCTACACCCCTGTAAGTACGTAAGACATATGGGAAGGTAAATAGGGGCTTACAGCTTAGCCCAGTATAAATCTTATCAGGGTGAGGGCACATTGATTAACTTTCCAAATCACTACTTACTTGTTTGGAAAAGTTTATTGTAGGGTAGATTGAAAAGAAAACAACTTTCTGATTTTCAGGTAAATGATTTGCCAACATGAATGTGAGGTATCAGTCCACAGGATAAATGAATAGCCTCTGTCATTCAAGTGTATGTAAATAGTTGTCTGTCAGCATTCATAAAAGAGGAAGTCTCTCAAAATACATTAACTTTAACCCATTTGTCAGTTCAAATGGCCTACTTAGTAAACAGAAATTTTACAACTGACTTTCTGAGCTTCGCAAGTAAGTAGAATGCAGCTCTGGTTTACACCCATTATAAGCAGTTGATTTCAGTGAAATACAGAAAAAGATAACCTGCTGCAAAACTCAGCCCATGGAGAAAGTGGTTTCACTTTAAAGAAGTACAGTGAGTGTAGCATAGAGAAAATAGTGGTGATTCTCTTGTCATACAAAGTAAAACATAATGGGAATTACAGAAGATTTCCCATTTCTGCCTACTATTGCAGCATCTTAGGTCTTTGCTTCAAAAGTTACGACCATGCTAACAGAAATACACAGTCATTGCTCAGGCAGAACTCCCGGTTGAAGTGCAAGAGAGCTTTTATCTGGGGCAGATATTACAGGAGGAGGCCAGAATTGTGGAGGGAGAACTAGTTCACCTGTAAGAAAGATTATGATTTTTAACTTTTCTATGTATTGCTGAGTGAGCCTTTTATACTACAGAGCTTGGTTAAGATTCTGGTTGTTATTTCAAGAGCCTATAAAATAATACAGTAAGTACTTCTTTTTTATTAATAGGTGCAGAAAAAAATCACTAACTGCAACCCCAAAATATCTACTTGTCTGTTTGTTTGACTGCCAGATAGAATTCGTGTACATTGCTCTTCAGGAAAAATATATTTTCAAACATATTTTAATCTTACAAAGAGATTAAAGGTGTAAGTCTTTTATCCATGTCCTCATTTTTTTACAGAACTCTTTCAAGATCTGAGCCAGTTACAGGAGACATGGCTTGCAGAAGGTAAGGGAAAAAACTGCTTGCAAAAATGGGAAAAACAACTCTGGAGGGGAAAAAAAAAAAAAAAAAACCTAGTCCTGAACTTGCTGTCTTAATGTTCAGCCCAATTAATTGAGCTCTAAAAGAGCCACCTCATGTGTCATGCATACATTAGAGCCTCTGATGAGTTTGTCTTTGGGGACTCTGGGGCTGCTCTACCCAGTGTCATCACAAATTACCAGGAGAAATTGCTTCCAGCTCACAATCACATCTGCTTTTGGCAAGAACTAATGCACCAAGACTTCAAGTTCTAAGCCTCTGTTCAGATTTTAATTGCAATTGATCAGGTTTATATTATTGTACCTCGAGAGACTACATACAGCCAGAACTGGGCTTGCTGTTTCCTTTAGAGCAGCACATATAATTATTTGGTGTTCTGGTGGAGTACTTTTCTGATGGCAGAAATTAGTTTCTCTGGGTTCATCAGGACGGGATGCTTCAAGATTTAAGTGCAAGTGTCTTCTTTCCACCTTGTTCACAACACAGAACATTAGGTGTGTATGAAATACTTTAAAAGTACTATTTCTTTTATGTATTTTTTTTTTTTTCCAGAAACCTTTTAAGTATTTTGCATGTTATTTTTGTCTTTGTATCTGTAGTTGTGAGATTGTGTACTGGGTGATTAGAAAACTGTCATCGGTCTGTTTTACACCTGCTTGTGCTTTTAAGTATTTCAAGTAATCTTGCAGAGCACATTCTATTGAAGAGAGAAGGTTTAAGAACAATAATGTGAAATCTGAATTTAGAGTAGCTGTTGAGAGATTCATTTAACAGTAAGAAAAAAATGAGCTGCTGCGTTAAGAGAACTTTAACAAAATGCAAGATAGCTTTCTGCTTATTGAAGTGTATTTGTTCTCTTCAGCAATATTTTCTGATTCTTTTTACTTCAATGTTTACAATACTGTTTATTTGGAACAAAGATTTTTATGCATTGTCTCATAATATTTCTGGTTGAAATTTTTATGTAAACTGCATCTGAAATAAACATGATTTTGATGCAAGTTAACATAATCTCTCCAAATTTATCCTGATGTAAATGAATGTGAGTATTCACATATGTTTGATTTTTATCTTATACTGGACTATGCACAGCTGTTTGTAGAATAGATCTGTTTTTCTGGAGAGGAGGGTGGAATGCTTGCTGTTGATTTTCATAGAAAGAGGGAAATACTGCTGATGACTACTGGCTTACTAGATTCTGTTTTAATTCAGCTTTATATGTAGTTAGTCAAGTTCTCAACCTATAAGTAAGTTGTGGAGTATTGTTTATTTTGCTGACATTTTTATTCTCCTAGCATTATTTTTAGCATGTGGTTATTCTGTATCTAGTATAAAAATCTTTTTTTAAATTGTGAAACAGAGGATATAGTTTTCACAAATTAATATGATTCTTTCCTAATCACTGAAAACAGGATGTCCTGTACTAAGATCATTTTTGTAGCATAATGATCAGATACAACTGTAACTCTGTCTCCCTGTGGTAGTTTTCCTAAGGATATCTTTATTTTGTATCATCTCGTTCATTCTAGCAAGCCAGAAGTGTGTTAGAATGCTACTCAAAAGATACTGTTTTTTTGATGGAGAGGAGAACTTTTAATCTGACTGTTCTCTGGCATGGCTGTTTTTGTTTCTGAAAATGATTAAATTTCTTTGATCGTAGATCAGAAAAATACAGGCAGATTCATAATGCATGTGCAGATATTAATGTGAGTTTGAAAAATAATAGGGAATTTAAAATTGATTTAATAATTTCTATAGGTGCATAAATTACTGTAACGGCAATTTTAATTCTGGAGGCACTGCTTGTTTTAGACTAGAAGGAATTGTTTTGAGAGCCTTTTTTCCTCTTTAGCTGTGTCTATGTCACTGAATACATTTAGATAGGTTTTGAGAGAGAAAGGTGTCTGGTCCTGTGTCAGCTATGTTGAGGAACCTTTGTAAAAGCAGATAGCATCATCTGGTAAGTATTTAAAAAAAAAAAGTTGTCTTTTCATCTAGCAGAGAATAATAACACTAATAATGTTATATTTTCCACAGCATATTGCAACCAAATATTACAGATTTTTTCAGTGTTCTAGAAATACTTTAAGAAATCTGTGTATTTCGGGCCATGCCATGGTTTAGCTGTTCCATAAAACACAAACTTTGCATAGCCTTTTTCTAAAGGCTAAACCAGCACTAAAAAGTCATGATGAGAAAATCAAATACTGAGCTATTAACTTGGTCTTAAATTTTTATAAAAAAACCCCACCCCAAAAAACTTTTGGTAGTCTTTATAATATACTAGTGTTTGAGGGTGTCGTAGCTGTGCTCAAAAGTCTACATGGGTGAGCTTAGCCAGGAAACAGATTCTGAAATCAAACTTGTTTACCCATTGCTAGATGTGTCCATTTATGTTATGGTCTTCTGGACCTTCATAGGCTAGAAGTCTGCCAGTTTGGCAGCATTAGTAATGTTTACATATTTCTTTTCATAATGCTCTGGAGCCAGGGAAATGACCATGAAATTTTAAAACATCTTGACCCTTTTTAAGAAAAGCAGTGGCAGCTGACCAGGTTTCTCCCACGAGTTCAGATCCCCACTGGGGAGTAACCAGGTCAAAAAACCTACTTACTAGTTAGAAGAAGAAAGTGAGTTGCATTTTATGGCACACAAAAAGTGCTAGCTTTTTGGGGTTTTTGTCCTTTTTTTTTTTTTTTGGTTGGTTTGCTTTTGCTAAAGCTGTCCTTAACTACCTCACGTATTTTAGCCTGGAGATTTTTACAGTTAGTGTCACCTGTGACAAGTTGATGGTAAACACATAAACAGAAAAGAAATGTATTCTTTTCCTATTGAAAATGGTGGGAGGTTCACATGTATTAAAGAATTAATCCAAAATGTAAACAGTTTAATTCAGTACCCTCTTTAATATTTTATTAGTCCATAATTAGCAAGCTGAATACCACTTACAGAAAACTTACAAATGTATTCTACTAGCTGAATACCAGATTTTTATGGAAATGAGGTTTGCTTCTTACTCTGTATAGTATTAAATGTGTAGGAAAAAATCTAAATTATTTTGATTTAAAGCTATCTCTGAATAAGGTTTCATCATGTCAGTTGTTATGCGAGGACAGAATGTAGAGTGTAACTATTTCCTGATGCCAGAAATTGAAAGTGGGAAACCTTTAATAATTGTTTCAACCATCAAACTTGAAAGGAAATAGTTAAAATCGCCTACTGCTAACCAAGGCAAATACTATGCAGATATTATCTTATATTTAAATAATTTGATGGCAGTATTTTGTCATTCTAATATTATAAAATAACTTTATGGATTACATATTTTTTTGGAATCAGATTGGTTTTGGCAGATAGCAGTTGTTCAGTGACTTGAAAAAAATGATTCAAATACTAATCTAATGTTATCATGGTAGCTATTCCTTCTTATTCTGGAATAAAATGAAAAGAGAGAACAAAGTCTTAGTGAGTGTCTCCTATGTTGAAAGCATTTGATGTTGGGGGAATAATTAAGAAAAAAAACAGATCTTTATTTAAAATGGCTCTTTCAGACAGTAGTTTCTCCTACAGCTTTTTAAAGATATATAAAAGGCATCCCAAGCAAAGAAAAATGATGAATTTATGCACTAGGTCTGCTTCTTACAGCAATAGATAATACCCTTCTCAGGTGGTAATGAGTTGAAAAATAAAGTAAAATAATTGAAAAATGAAAATGAAATGTTGTTCTTTGAAAAAATAAAAAAACATTTAGTGAACAGTGAATGGTTTGAAATAATAGCTACAGGGTTCACGCCTCTGCTGCAACTTAGCTAAATTGAGTGGATAGGTACAAGAAGTAACTTGTATTTAAATGCTTGTTCTTGATGCCTGAAAGCAAGCTATTTCCCTCAAGTAGTTAATGCCCAAATGTAGAATGAACTTTAGGAAACAGGTCTCTGCCCTCTGTTTCTGACTGTGAAGGATGCACGAGCATCGCAGTGATGTCTAAGCCAGTGTTGACGTCTAGTTTATTTCTTAAATGAGAGAGTAAGAAAATAAGTAGTTTCTTGTCTCAAAATATTATTTTTAATAAAAGAAAGTACTAGAACTTTCAATATTAATGTAGAGTGGCTTCATTTAATTCAGTGAAGATGTGTTGCAGCTTACTCTGTCAAACTAGCGTTAACTGCCAAAAAGTTGTAAAATTTACCCAGTGTAAGGCAAATGCTGTGTAGCCATGTTCCAGAGCTGTTCGCATTTTTATAGGAGCAAAAATAGTAAAAACCTGATAATTTAATACCCCTATAGTTGAGATCTGTCCTATGGTGACACACATTCTAAAAAGCAGTGAAAAGGTTTTCATTTGGAATCTGTAATACAAAAAATAGCTTTTATTTTTTTTTTTTTAGTAGAGTCTAGTGATCTAACAGATTTGTCTTTCAGGTACTCATAATTCTTGATCTTAAGTATCTGTGCACAAAAAAAGGAGGAAAAGTAGATAAGGCAAAATGGGTAGAGAGCAGGATGTTCTTTAAAAGAAATCCAAAAGAAAGAAACCCACCAGAAATGTGCAAGTCTGGAAGTCTGTGTAGTAATAAACTTTTTAACATTTTTGTTTGCTGGAAAAGTAAATGCCTTTCACTCAAAACAATCATTTTCAAAGGTGCAGTGGGGTTTGCGTACCATGAGGCATGTAGTGAAATGTTAAATGCGAGTGTCCCTTTTTAAGTTTACTTTTTTCTCATTTGTAGTATAGCAGCAAATGAAGAGCAGATTCTGCAAACCCATCTTCATATTCCTTGAGACTATTCACATAAGGAAGAATTTTGAGATCTGGAGCCAGTTTTGAACTGCGTTTAAGTTCATTAGTCAGAGCATCTCACATTATGTAAAAGGAGTTTGGGATTGTTTTGACAGCAAATCCAGTGCTTATGGGAAACAGTATTTTTTACTGTATTGAAATTTGTCACTGTTTTGCCTTCTGAATGCTTTTCTGTTAGAAACAGTTGCTCCTGGGGAAAAAAAACCAAAACAACCAACCACCACCCCCCGCAACCCCCCCCCCCCCCCCAGGTCTTTCAGAAATACTTACACTTTATACAATCTTTCAGATACTAAGAAGTGACAATGAAAGAAGACTCAATAGACTCATTACTGTGGAGGCCTGAAGTCTTATTTTAGCTGGAGCCAAAATACTACCGTTTGTACATAATTTCCTGTCAATTTCAGTTCTTTTTGCCACTTTAAATAAATGATGGATATTTTAAAACTAATTGTTCTTAGCTCTAAAAGTGAAGCATGAGGTCAGAGAACACAGTACCGCAGGAAGTGTTCTGCTACCCAAAATAAGGTTTTAAGCGAAGCGAGGAGGTTTGCAGCTTCTTGTTTTTCTGGAAAGTTTCCGTTTTTTAACAGGAACACCTTTCCCTGGAGTACAGCTGAGCGTTTGGAAGCAGTTTGTGACTGGGAGAAGGAAGAGTTAAAATTAAGGCCTTTATAGTTTGCTTAACTTTTCATTTATTAAATAAGGCTCCTCAGCAGGTCTGTGCTGCATCTTGAGACAAAGCAGTGAAATCAGTGTGTTTATGCCTAAAGTTCAAGTTTACTTTGCTGTAGCTTTCTGGAAGGGTGTGACATGAAAAGCTTGTGGTTGGGGCCACATGGTTCATGCTGGACTGTGTTTTTGTGAATGGAGGCAGAACTCCAGTTCTGACTGCTTGTCTTGAGGAATTGCTTCGGAGATCAGCTGTCTCATTCACTGGCAGAAAGAATGACTCATACATCTTCTGCCTTGTTTGGCTCCAGGTCATTGTTACAGTGGATAGAGCTGGTTTTAATTAAATATTAACTCCTTTTGTCCTGGATGCTTGTTAATGGGGACTACTTATTTTTGTTTATTTGCAATGAAAGCAAGCTGACAGGCCTTAGTTCTAAACTACCCCCCACCCCCAATTGCTTTCTTTTTGCAAAATGAGCTGTCAGCTTTTCAAAGGCTTCTTAAAGCTCTAAAAACTACAAACAAGTATGAAGTATTTTTTGTGCTGCGAGTGTTTGCTTTTGGCAAACTGTTTTTTAACTCAGTAGGTAGTGAAACTATAAAATCTAAACTGATAACATCCTCAAGATCTTCATTAACATTTCTGTACACTTCCCAAATCCTCTTGAGACAGTATAGCTATAATCAGAAGAGAAAGAAAACTTTTGGTAATAATCTAGGCTGAGCTGGATAGTTTATGCTGCAGATGTTGTCTGCTTCAGGAGTCTGAGACTTGATGGCTCTGAATGAGGAATGAACTAATGTAGCTGCTTCTGCTATTAGCAGTAAAAGCCACGTGCTTAATATCCTTCAAAACCTTTTATTAGTCTTTTGGAATATACATGCCTTCTCAAACCCCCATAATTAAGTAGCTCAGGGAAATATTCTCATTCTGTTAGATGATCATTTCAGATATCTTTTTGAATTTTCCTCTGAATGACAAAGTTTAAAAAAAAGTTTTGGTGATTTATGCTTTGTGTCCTGCATTGAATATGTTAACAGAAGACCAATGAAGATTTTATGGCAGCCTTGCTGAATTGCAGAATTTGTGAGTAGAAGAAAAGAGGAAATGAATGGCATACGTATATAAATGTGCAGACAGTTGCAACACTGCAAGTTACATTTTCCTTTTGGACATTCAGGTTGAAGTGTCTTTACCTGTCTGTTTAATTTGATGCAAAGTCTGTCTGTAATTATCCAAAGTCAAGGTACAAAAGCCCTCTCCCCTTTCAGTAATGGGATGATGTATCCCAACTATTTGCCCTCTCACAGCAAGATGATGGTGGAAGAAGTCTGTGTATTGGGCTGATGATGGCTGCTTGCATTTCTGCTATATGATCATGTGCAAGCTTCAGTTCTGCTAGTTTAAAAATAAAATCAGATTAAACAAAGGAATAGTTTAAGTTCTCCTTTCCAGCAGTTAGCAGGTCCTTGTAATTTCTTCATATAGGATTGTGGGCTTGTTTCTAAGGTACTGATGGTACTATAATTGGATTCCAGTAGGAAATGCATGTTTCTGGGTTGAACATTTTGGATGTTATGTTTTGTTTATATTTTGCAGGGTGTTAAACACTTCTTAACTTGCTGTATTCCTTTTCCTACAGAGGCTTTTAAGGCTATGTTAATATTGTATTCAAAATACATTTGGACAGTGCAGTCCACACCTATTTCTAGAGTACTTATAAAATGATGGGCATTGATCTCTGTTAAGTATGTCTTCATAAGTTTTGGGGATCCATGAATGAAATATATTTTTCTTATTTACTCCAGACCAAATCAGGAGTAATGACAGTATCTCTAATATACTGTTTTCCTGTGACAGTTTAACCAGATGTATTTTATTTTTTCTTACTCTCTAGCTGGGAAAAGAAAGAACCTTATTTACTGATATAGACATAAAACTTCGTGTGAGATTTGTTCTGGAGTAAGTCAAGTTAAACTGATAAAACCTGAATAAAGCACCGGTAAAGCAGCTTGGTGCACAGCGTACACTCTAGAAAGTTATATAAGATTGCTGCCCCAGATCTGCAGTCACTAAATGTAGCCTTCTGATTTCAAGAGGAGAGTTTTGGTTTTCTTTTAGTCTTTTTCAGATATCCCAGATTCACAATTTTTTTAAATGTATATTTGTATATATATAAATAAAAATGCATGTGTGTGCATTAAAAAAATGCAGTCATACCGGGCTCCTTGCTCCATTTAAAAATAGTACCTAGTTTAAGAAAAATTTGTGGGAGGTCTTCTGTGAAAGAGAAGTTACTTAATACAGTTAAGAGAATTACTTTAACTCTGAATGTACTCACAGACCCTTCAAAAACATTTGGAAATGCAAGAAATCCTTAGGAACTGATTTTTGAGTGGGTTATCTTGATTTCATAATCTGATTCTTCAGTGACAGTCAAATATTTGGCATTTTTGTAAGGAAAATGCAGTGAATTGAATGAAATGTCAAAAATTGCAGAGTGTTAGTGTTTGGGCTCATATTGTTCCCGAGTTGATTATTGGTGCAAGTCCTGTGGTTTCTCTCGAGAAAAGAGAAATTAAATGCAAAAATACTGGGATATTTGAGTTGGTAAAATACATGTTTTATACAGGCTCAAACTTTGAGGAGCTGACATGTCCTTAGAGGTACTGGTTTCTTCTAAAGGATAGGTTACTGTATTTTGTTTCTTTTTTTTTAATTAAAAAAAAACAAGAAAGCAACAGTAGCTATGCTTTTTTTTTTACAGAATAATGCTAATTGCACTTCATTTATTTATCTTACTCACACTTTTCAAATCTCTGTTTGCAGATTTCCCAAGGTCATTTGTTCTTAAGGGGAATTTGTTGCAATTAAGACAGTAGGGCTTTAAACATTTATTTTAAAACCAAAAGCAAATAATTTTTTGATATAATGAGCCTGATTCTGAACTCTTTATCCAGGAAAAAACCTCCCAGATATGTTCTTAGAAATATATCTTGAGTAAGGAGCGGAGATCTGGTCCATGAAGAGTACCATAGTGCATGTTAAAAATTATTGTAATTATAATTAAATATGTATTTTTAATTCAAACAAATTCTGTTAAAACTAGCAGCAATTGTACATGTCGAAAGGGGAATATATGCTTCTTAAAAGTGTTCTGAAAGGCAATGAAGTTTTATTTTATCAATTTATGAATTAAATGGTTTGATAGTAACAGTTCTGATAAATGATTATATAACCGGTATTTACCTCTCAGATCTTGTTGGGTAACCAGATCATCTCAGATGTTAACTTTTAATTAAGATCATATGAATTATTTGCCTTTGTCTTTAGACAAGATCTGCGTAAATGAAAATATCTTTAAACAGTTAATTTTATGCACCTTTGCTGTGGTGTCTCCAGTTAGCGTATGTTGAGAAAAAGATGACAAAGTTCAGAGACTATAAACTGGATCTCTCCTCAGGATGTACCCAGAACCAGTCATACTCTGAAGATGCGACTTCTCATTGTAATGTTCTGCAGTTATCTGAATGTTACCTGTAATACATACCTGTTCAGTGGTATTTCAACTTAAATGGTTTAAATGAGTTTGCAACACAGCATGAGAGATGGCTGATGTAGATACAGAATGAAAGTGAACTGTGGTACCACAGATGCAAAATTATGTATTGGCAGACCGTGAAACAATTGTATTTTATAGCTCAGGTTTGTGATGAAAGTTTCCTAAAAGTGAAGATGATCTTATTCAAGGTGAATGGATGTTAATAATGACTCTTCAAGTAAATTTATTTTATTTATTTTTTTTTAAATCTGGAAAGATGTCATTCAACCAGGAGTTCTGTGGTCTGATAAAATAGTTCTTTTTGAGTATTTAAGAGAATAACAAAAATACCTCTACTGTGTTGGCTGACTGCCATGAAAAATTGGAATTGCTTTTTAAGTAAGCCAAGGGTGTGGTATTTTGGGGTTAAAGATGCCCAAGTGTTAAAACACTACGATTTGGTTTTATGCAGACCTTCCGTGCAGGTATTTTGAAAATGAGCACGAATGGGTTTTACTAATAGCATGGTAGGTGCAGACCCGTGTGCAGGGAGTGAGGCAGGGTTAGTGCCAGTGTCAGCCTTCACGTCCTCCCATCCCCACTGCTCTGTGCCAAGGCTGCTCTGGACTCACACTGCACCACACAGCTTCACTCCAGGGTTTATCTGATATTAAAATGATGCGCTTGCCTGATTTTCATATGCAACAATGAGAAAAAAAATAAAAATCCTAGTTTTAATCAATCTTGGCTGTGCTTCAAATGAAGCAACAGAGTCTTTATTTATGCTTTAATGGCTTCTTTTAATTCTGTCCTTGTTTTTGTTTGTTTTTTTGTTTGTTTGTTTGTTTGTTTTTTGTTTTGTTTTTGTTTTCCTTTCTTCAGCTCAGGTACCTGACAATGACGAGCAGTTTGTGCCAGACTATCAGGCTGAAAGTTGTAAGTATAGTATGAATCATCACTTACTTAAAAATCTGTATTTGTATATTTATATATGGGTCTTTGTTATTTATTGTGTCATCACATTCATGTGATAGGTCCTTTCGCTGGTGAGTGGCATCAGCAGGATGAATAGATAAAGCAGGTGGTAGTTTGATATGTAGCGGAGAGAAGTTGTTTGGGCTGAAGGTATAACATTTAGCAGGGTGTCCTCTCCTGTAATTCCCACCCTGCAGCTCCAGGGAAGCAAGGGAAAACATTGTGGAGGAGGAGGGAGTTAATCTGTCCATAGGGTGAGGAGAGGAGCATTTTGAGCCTGTACAGATGAGATACCGTGGGACACAGGAGGCAGCTCTGTTGAGCAGAAATCAGGCTGCTCAGTGTGTTTTGTGTATAAATACATAAATATCATTCTCCACGTAATCAATCAGCAGCCACTGCTGAAGCATTTTTAAGTTGTCTTAGCATGTGGCATTTTGTTACTCAAACAAAATTACCCTTCAAATTATATGGGAGGAAGCAAGATTTATTCTAAGCTGGATGCTTTGCTACTTTATTTAACATGTTCCCAAACTTTTCTTCTTTTTCTTAGCCTGTACCCCTCAAACCTTGCTTTTACCTGCTACTATTGTGTTAAATGCTGACTCTCTTTCACTGTACCTGCTGTCTGGTTTTGGCTGGTTGCAAGGGCGTAGTAAGGAAGTGGCAAGAGAAACATTATCTGACAAAGTCAGAGGCTTCTTCAAGTTCTTTACGCGTCTTTCTTCCTCATGGCAAGGCTTTTCTCCATCATCAGAGGTCACTCCTGAACAACGTCTGCTGATTGCAGCAGAGCGGGTGGTAGCTTTTCCGTTTTGCTAAATAACTTAAATAATTTATCCTATCTGAGTGAATTACTGCAGTTCACTAAACCAGACAGCTGTTAAATACAGCGCTCATGTACTGGAATTTTTAGGATTAAAATTAGATCAGAAATAATTGCATTAAAATAGCCCTTAACCCCAAAATCAAATTCAGATTTTTTGAGTTTTCTTATAAATCTTTTAGAGGAGGGTTTTTTTCCCAGTTACTTAGAAACTGTTCTAAGAAGAATTTGTTGAGAGTATTTATATCAACATTTTATAGGGAGAAAAAGAAAATAAAGTTTGTTTGTTTGATTTTTTTCTTCGTGGACTCTGTTAGTGTACCTGCACAGAAAGAATTTAGTTTTGCTTTTCTTCTCTAGAAATTCATGTACATATACTAACCAACAATTGTGGTCACTTTCAAACTTTTAAATTTGCCCTTTATAACAGTTGTTTTCCCCACCTCTGGCTTCAAAGACTTTGTATTTTTTATTATATTACAGTATGAAAGGCAAAGAATCTATAAGTTGGAAACCAGATACGTTATACTGCATATGGAGCTGTGTCCAAATATAGTCATGTGTGCATACATCCTTTGTGTAAGAGTACAAAGTTCAGCTAGGGCTTCTATTAACCCACAATTATTGTTACGCAACAAGTCAATGTTTCTTGGAAAATAATTTGTGAACTGTGAATGAAAAGCCCTGTTGAAGCTGGTCACTGCTTTTGGTGACAAAGAAATTCTCCTAATATGGCTATTTTATAAATGCCGTTGTATTTCGGAGTTTCTTAGCTTACACAGTATTATCAAAGGCACATTTATTTCTTCATTTCAGTTGGTTTCTTTATCTTAAGTAAAGGTCAGGATAGCTTCCTGGAGAGTTACTCTGGCAAAGGTTATGGAGTTTCAGACATATACTTGGGTATAATGTATGTAGCTGTGGGCTCTGCAAAACAGGAACGGAGATCAACAGAACCAAAGCCATGGGGAAATTATTGCTGCAAAAGAAGCTCAATTGTGACTGTTTTCTCTAGGTTCCAAACTTGCCTTCAAACTCTATTATAATGACTTACTATATATAATCTATGAGTCTGTACAGTGCTCACCCTGTTACTGGCAGGAGCTCTTGGCTTTTGTTTTTTTAAATTGTTATTATTATTTTTTTAAACATGGGAGAGGATGGGCAAGCTTTTAGAGATTCATTGTTTAATACATTCTTGAGCCAAAAATGGTGAAGCACAGAAGTGTAAACCAATGAAAGGGGTCACAGCTGTTCAGCTGGTCACAGTTCAGACAACTGAACTGTGATTTGCGGCACAAATTTCGTTTATGAAGCTGTATACAGGTGTGTGGTGCGTGTGGGTGTGATGTGCAGAGTATGTAAAGAACACTGAAGTGCTCCACTGAAACAGTCATAGTCTGCAGTAAAGGTACAAAAATTAAGTGCAGTTTTATTTCTAGCTTCATTGCTTGAGAAATGGGCTTTAAACCTGAGGTAGATTTGTGGTCTTAAAGTGAAACATTGGTAACAGAATGCTGCTGTTAAAACTTCCTTGCCTTGAAATCACCAAGTTAGTCAGCTCCTGAAGCAAAGGTGTGGAAAGTAGTAGGGGAACTGATACTGCCAAGATCATACGCTATGTCCTAGCGCTAGCAGCATTAAATGCCCCTTAAAGTACCGTGGGTTTTGCATTTCTTTTCTGTAGTAATGATTTTAACTAGTGAAACTGCACTGGTATTGGTAACTAAGGGAAACATTTAGTTTAGATTAGATATACAATCCATTTTATCCACTTAGGGTAACTTCAAAGCTAGGTTGAGACCATGAATATTTCAATTATGAGTTGCTATTAATCTTCAATCAGTTTTCAAAAAGCAAATCCAATCTATATATTTATAGTTAGGTGTGGGCTTTAGAAATTATGGGTGAGATCAAGAGCTAGCATAACTTCATGTGGTATTATTGACATTACTGGAATTACGCATATTTCTGCTAGCAAAGAATCCAGCACGTCAAGCTTCCCCTTAATGCTTCTAACTTCAGTTTACCTGTTTAAAGTTAAATTTTTTTTTAATTTTTTTTCTTTTGCGACTCTGCTATGTCTTCTGGAAAGAGGCCCTTCCTGCTGTAACGTTACAAATGTCTGCACTTCTGAACCTTTCTTTCTTGTCACAGCATCCAAAGCCCCATCTTGTCCGTCTTGTATTACCTTTTTTTTAAATATCTTTTTGATTTTTAATACCTGTCACAAAGAACCTTTTGGTAGTTTAGCTCAGAGTAAGCAGAATGAAGAGCAGATAACAGCTGGCCTGTTCAGGTGAAATTTGAAAAACAAATCACAGTTTAGTTTCTCATAACTTTCTGCTTTCTGCAACTGAACTTTCCTAATGACTCTTCTTTTAGCAATTATGTTAAAAGCTGTGTAAAGCAAAAATGCAAAATCTGTTTTTCCAAAAAGGTGAATGCTTTTTTTTTTTTAAAAAAAAAAAAAAATCAGCATTCTGTATGTGACACTTCTTCCAAATTCTTATCTAATTCAGAAGACTTAGTTTTTCTGTCTTTATAAAGTCAGTATTCACATGTGGAGAAGGGTGAACTGTGTTAACTTCCTCAGATAAGTTTTCCTATTGTTTCAAGTCCGTTTGCATATACTGAGGAGGAGCCAGATCCTGAACTGGTTGCAATCAGAGGTGAAGCTTTCAGGTACTGTAGAACAGCAAGGACTTTCCAATCTAGGAGTAAAGATGAATCAAGTGTTCAGTTTGCTTGAAGTCAATAGCTGTTGAGATGAAGATTGCTTGCTCCTATTGTTTGGATGGTTTCTATGACAGACACAAGAGGAAGTAGGTAGGATTTGCGGATGTTTAAAGGATGTATTTGGCAGAGAAAACCTGGTACTCTCAACAATACACTGATTTGTAATTCGACCTTGGTACAGTTGGTTAAAAATGGGGATTACCCTGCACCAAACCAGATTGCCTGGTGTCTTAATGGCATGATCATGTTTTATTTTGCTTTAATAATACATATTTACGTTGGTCTGTTCTTCCAGTTTGGTGGGTTTCTTTTTCCCACTCTTTCTTCTTTTGTCCTAAAATGCAGGTTACCCTATAAACTCTAGCTTTTAACTTTTGCTTTTTATTTCTTATTGAATTTCTGATAATGAGGATTTGTGCTGTGCTTCACTTTCTTGATCGGTTTCCTTCTTTATCTTTCATTTTGTTCCTGTATTGTTTCCCTGACCGTCGTAGCCTTAACTTAACACTGCCATGGGGTAAATGTTAATGTTAGACCATAGCTGTTGACAGTAAGTGGGAAGGACTGGCTGTAAAATCCATGCTTCTCCAAGTCTGATTAAACTTCAAGATAGGAAAAATACTTTTTTAGTAGTGATTTGTCACTGATCTCTCACAACCTTTATTCTTTCTCTTACCTCTGGTTTTTTTCCCTCTAGGTCTAGCAAAGGAGCTGTTTCAATGTAGATGCCAGGAGCCTTAAATTATTCAGGAATGTGCTTTTTAAATGCTCTGGCTTGCAATCTTTAAAAGCCTGCTAAAGAGAGTTTCTTTACATAGGCTTCAGGTAGCTGTATTCTTCTGTCGTTTTAACTAATGGCTTAGGATATTCCAAATGCAATTTAATGAGGAGAAGCTTTAGTATTTATTTACATGTTTGCAGCATACAAATCTTTTTTTTTTTTTTTTTATTGCACTATTAGGTGAAAAAGGCTTTGTTTTTTTAATTTCCTTTTTGGAAAATATTGACATATTTTGGTGGAAAAACCCCACACAGCTAAAACAAAGTACAAAACACCAGAATAATGTTAGGTTCTGATAGGCCTACTGAAGTCAAAAGTAGATCTGGTTATTGGGTTTGTTTTTATTGATGATGCAGAAAAGCTTAATTTTGCAGCTTCTAGAAAAAAATTTAGTGGACTGAAAAACATGACAACGTTTTTAACGTGATGATTCACTATATAGGCAGCTGGTAGTCTTTGTAGTGCACAATGTCCTAGAAATCACAGTTGGTAGCGTTTTGGTTTTCTGTGTGTGGCAAGTTGCACACACCAGCATGTTTTCGGGTTTGGGTTTTTTTACTTTTTTTTTTTTTTTAATTGTCTGTGTGGCTGGAATCACCTTTTCTTTAAGTGTAG